AGAATTTGCATTAGCTATTCCCCAGAAAACCCACTTAACACATTGTCCCAAAAGTCCATGCCTATCTGGTACTTTAAATATAGTAATTTAAACACCTTACACTTCCAAGGTCTCATAAATGTCAATTTGCCAGTGTTTTGTGACAGGATTTGCCTATGATCAATCAGTCAACTAAATACAGATAGGCGTGGATGCCTATCCTCCTTTGGGGTGCTGCCACCACAGCAAGGCACTTTGTGAAGTCTCTTGATAAGGTAGAGAATCCAAATGTACTGGTAATGATTCTGTCTCCCTGTAAATCTGAGGTAGTTCCTGTGGGCTGGGTGGATGGTGATGTGGAAGTACATACCCTGCAAGTCTACAGACACAAACCAGTCGTGCGTCTGAAGAGCTGGAATGATGGAGGCAAGTGATACCATTCTGAAGCTGAGGCAGCATATGTATGTATTCAGTCTCCTCAGGTCTAGGACAGGACAAAGACCTCTCCCCTTTTCTTCTTCAGAATGTGGAAAGATCAGGAGTAGAAATATCTGCACCTGTAATCTCACAAAACTTTTTCTATGGCTCCTAAACAGAGCAATGAAGCCACTTTTTTTTTTTTTCAACTGGCTCTTGTGCGAAGATACCCCAAAGAGACAATGAAGAGGGCAGGTAGGAAGTAAAGAGAAGAATTGGATGGGGTAGCCATAAGTGACGATGTCTATCACCCATATGTCAGCTGTGATCCCTGGTCAACGGAAGAGGATGAGGCAATTTCCGAAGATTGGCTACAGAATCTTGGTTTCAGTGTGGCTCACAACCGTCTCTTCAAACCTGCTGCCTCTGGGAATCAGGCTGAAGTGCAATGTTCTGGCTACTACTTGCCCTTCTTTGATGGGGTTTTAAGTTCTTCCCAGCAGTCTTGTGGGATCCTCAACAGGAAGAGAGGGTCACCCACTCCGATATCAGGAAGCTCTATTTTGCAAAACAGAGCTTGGTAATGAGTGGTTCTAACTTGCAGGGAAGCTGAGTCGACCTTCCCTCCCCTCCCCCCCGAAAAAGATCCAGCCTCTTGAGATCCTTATTCTTTGGGGTCCCTTTAGTTCAGTGGTTCTGAAACTTTTGTACTGGTGACCCTTTCCACATAGCAAGCCTCTGAGCGCAACCCCCCTTATAAATTTAGAACATTTTTAAAATATATTTAACACCATTATAAATGCTGGATGCAAAGCAGGGTTTCAGATGGAGGCTGACAGCTCGCAACCCCCCCCCCACCACCATATAATAACCTCACGACCCCCTGAGGAGTCCCGACCCCCAGTCTGAGAACCCCTGCTTTAGTTGATCTTTGGTTTTGTTTTCTGCCCTGAGTCACTGAGAGGACGAGAAATCCTGGTGTGGGATGTGAGAACTGTTCAAAGCCCTCAGGCAGGACTTGGTAATGTTTCTGTAGTTGCTTCAAAATCAGAAGTAAGGCCAGCATGTGCCAGTGATCCTTCAGTCTCCAATTTGCCCTCGTTAACTGGTAGAGCAATCCTTGTGGGCACTGAGGAGCTCAAGATGTTGAACATCTTGTGTATGTTCTCTTGGATTACTCTCATCTCAATTTCCAAGGTGTCTGCTGTCCTGGTGAAGCTCCTGGAAGGCTCTAAAGTATTCCAGAGGAAGGTTAGGATTGGTGCAACTGCCTCGCTCAGAGAAAAAGATGAGTCTTCGCATGGAGAGGGCAGCTGGAACATCTTCTGGGCTTGCTTTGCCCCTACTAATGGCAGGACAAGAAGTGCAGCTGGAGCCTCGTGTCCCTCAATTTCTGGGGTGCAAGGAGGAGTGGCAAATGGAGTTTGCCGAGAATTTGCCGCCCTGATAGACACAGCTATTCAAAAGATTCTAAGGCCTTGGCTACACTTGCATGTTATACCACAATAAAGCCACCCAGAGCGCTCTAACTCACTCCCCATCCACACTGGCAAGGCACGCAGAGCGCTCTGACTCCCTGGCTAGAGCTCTGCTGGTACTCCACCTCCCCAAGAGGGATAAGGTTTGCTGCATATTGGGTGAGACGCTACAGCGTCAGTGTGAACGAGGAGTTACGTTACAGCGCTCTGATTGCCTCCCCAAAACGTCCCATAATCCCATTAACTGAAGTGGCCCTTCTTGTCTTTCTTGTGAACTCCGGCAGGAATGCAGAAGTTGCCCTTTCAAAGCTCTATTTTGGAGTGCCGGCTGCTTACCAGCTCCGAAAAAAAAAAAAAACGGCTAATGTTTGCTTTGAGTGAGTGAGAGAGGGGCGGGGGAGGGAGCGGGGGGTCTGTACTTACAAGACAGCGTGCTGACACATTCTCAGCACCCCAAAAGCCCAATCTCTCCCACCACACTCCACCCCACCCTCTCCCCATTTGGGAAGCACACTGCAACCACTTGAATGCTGAGAGAGCTGCCCATAATGCACCGCTCCCAACGCAGCTGCAAGTGCAGCAACGCCAGTGCGCTTTCAGCTGTCAGTGTGGACAGACTGGAGTGCTTTCCCTACTGCGCTGTACGAAGGCTGGTTTAGTGCAAATCACTCTACATCTGCAATTGTAGCTAAGCCCTAAGGTTGTGTACATGAGGCGCAGGTACACTTACAGTGGGATCCACTCTGACACACACTCAAAAAAATCACCTTTATTTTTTTTATTTTTAAAGGTACAGATTCTCGTAGCAGCTCAAGTGGCCTTCAGCAGCACACATACAAACCCGCATTCAGATTACTGAGACAAAAAATATTCATTAGTCATTCAAAAACACTTCACATACACCTGAAGAGGAAATTGCGTACTTCACCATTTGCCGAAAGTATGGCAAACTGTACTCAACAGAAGAAAATGGGTCTTGCTTCTGGCTACTTTGAGCTTTTTAAAAAGGTTGTTGAAGAAAATACCACCTTGTCGCAAGTTTCACACTGAAGAATACAACAAAAGAAATAATACCGCATATGGAATATTTTAGAATGTTATGGAACTCATGCCAGCAGGAAGCCAAAGAATGAACATGAATTCAGCTATGAATTTGGAACCTTTGGAGGCAAATGTACTAAATTAAAAGGACGAAAGTGTTCCTGCTATATATTAAAACCCTGAAGCACCTCCATATTACAGACAAAACATACCAATGAAAGTCTTTTAAATTCTGAAATGTCCTCTAACTTTGCAGGATTGGAGTCTAAGTCTGGGTACATTTTGAGACTTGTCCTCAGCAGCCTATGATACTTTGTTCAAATACATTACTTAAATGGATTTTGGATCAGTCCCTTAAAGAGCTACTAGACACTTGTCAGAATTAGGAAAGCATACCCTTTAAAGGCCATTAAGCTTAAAAATCAGAATTTCTGCATTTCTGTTCCCCTAAATTGTATTAGTAGAGATTTTTGCATGGAAGCAGAAGTATTATTAATGAATTGCTTTGACTTAAATGAAACTGCTTAAGATCTAAAACCAACAACGTGTATGCAGTGATATAAATACACCTGAAATAAAAGAGAAGAAGGTTTGCCTATGATTTAAGCCCAAATTCAGGGTTGGCATAAGTGGTTGCAACCTTACAAACGTTGTCAGAATTGTATCTAGTAAATGCAGAGTTGTATTATTCTAGACTAGAGATTAGTTTGGCCCTAAGGCATTGGAGGAAAGATAGGTTGAAACAGGAAATATGGCCACATTACAGTTTTAAATGGATCCTTAACCAGGACAAACTGTCCCTTCATTGCATAGCTTCTCCATGCTTAAAATGGGAGACATTAAAATGTAATGCTCCTGTAAAATGTGGAAAATTGTATTGGTGGGATATGGCACACTGTTGAGATTGCTTTAGTTTCCAAGCAGACTGCCGATGAAGTGAAATGACTGGGGTAGATAGGAGAGGAAAAAATCCAAGAACAGCAAAGTTAAAATTCAAGAGCTAAGGACTGTGAATGTTCTACTTATATACATATAACCCAGCAAATACACAAAGAGTAACAGGAAAATCAATATAGTGAATGCAATTTCTGCAGCAAGTTATTGGAAAACAGGATGCAGGTCTAGCTATCTGAATGCAAGGATGCAACCCAACCAATAAGGGTGAATCCCAAATGGTACCAAGAGCTCCAAATTCCCTCTTAGGAGATGCTAGGAACTTGCAGGATCAGATCATACAAGGAATAAAATGCACACTACATAATAAATTTTTAAATAGCAAGAAACCCATCCTCTTGCTTGGAAAATCTAGTCAATCATTGGTCTTGTTAATGGAATTGAACATTTCCCTTCTGGAAGGACAGGTTCATAGATTCCAAAGGCAGAAGGGACCATTGTGATAACCTAGTGTGACCTCCTGTGTAACAAAGGCCATAAGAACATCCCCCCCAAAATTCCTTGAACATCTCTTTTACAAAAAACATCCAATCTTGATTTAAAAATGGCCAGTGAAGGAGAATCCACCAGGACCCTTGGTAAATTGTTCCAATAGTTAATTACCCTCACTAATAAAAACTTACCCTTTATTTAGGTGCCAGGGTCTCAAAGAAAAGATTTTTCCACACACCAACTTGTTCAACACACCAGCTGCTGCTGGGGACAAACTGTCTAATTACTGCATACTGAATCTTCCCTTTTTGAAGTAGGTTATTGGGAATGTAGTACTAAGATAACTGCAATAGAATCCTTCAATTTCAAGAATTCTTGAGCCCTCTCAGTTTGGGTTTAGGCCTGGCTACGGTACAGAAACTGTACTGGATGCATTAGTTAAGTATCTTCTTAGGTGAGGGAGGAAGATCATGCTCTGCCTATCTAAGATATATAGCCTCCACCCACACTATCTGAGAGCCTAACAATATCGAATATATTAATGCCTCAACACCCCTACAAATACAGAGAAATATTACTGTCCTCATTGTTTTTTAACAGATGGGGAACTGAGGCACAGAGAGGCTATTTTTATATTTGCATGTACACCTACAGCAAAGGAGTTTTGAAAATGCAAAATGCGTATGTTGTATTACTTACGATAATAGGTGTGAATCTCATCCATTTCCTTTTCTGTCTGGTCCTTCGTAAATGTCATGCTCTGCAAAGTGATACAAAATGTTCATTTGAAGAAGAAAATGAAGATAGTCACATTTTAAAAACACAAGCTTTAATATCAGAACATGAAGGAAACTTACCTTTGAAACAGAGGAAATATTATTCCTTTTTACCCCCACTCTTTAGACACCAAAACAATCAATACTACACTTTAATAAGGACTATGTCAACCCTATATGGGAGGAGATCATTTGTTCAGCTCTTTCCCACCACCTCTGCTCAGCCCTACCTGTTAACATTTAACATATACCTGGGCTGTCTATAAAGTGCCCCCTTTGCTCTTTCACAAGAGCAGCAGGAGAATGCCAAGCTGCCAAGGAGACTAAACAGAACAAAAACAGACCTTCCTTAAAACCTCCCTCCAGTCTTCTGATTGGTTCAAGGCCAGGTCAGTATCTTTATCTCACTTTATAAAACCCCCTGGGTATTTTTACTGCAATCATAAAATGCTCAAATGTAGGTGGTTCAACCATAGAAACATCAGTACCATACAAACTAGTATTCCCCTTAACAATAAGTGATATCACATTTTAATTGTAAGTTCTTTTACACTAGTTATTTAAAATACACCCACACAAATATCTTGAATATGCTACTAATGGTTGATTTAAATTTAAAGGCATCGTAGCGTCTTGGCACCATGCATTCTGCTCAGCCTCTCCCTCCCCCAAGCCATCCTGCCATGTACCAACAACAGCACTCTCCTGTTGGAAGTATCACCATCACCATGATTCCCTCTCCCTGCTCAGAAGAATTGAGTTGGGTCGGATTTAGCCCCAGATATAAAGGGTTTTCCAATTGAATATTTTAGCACACTGAAAGGAACCAGCAATTCCTTTAATGAAGAAATATGTAAAAATGCTTCATAACTCTTTTGGTACAGAGATAATAAACTTACATTTTCACCAGCTTTATTAAATTCAAGTTGAGTCCGAGTTTTCTCATTGTTTTCAAGCTCTTTCACTATTTCTGCAACTGTTAATATCAACAAGCATTATAAATGGTAGAACCACAATATGGCTGTTAAGATAAAGAATAAAACAGCACTGAAAAGAACTGTCCTAAAGCTAAATGACATTCAGGCCTACATGCATTAATCTTTCACCTCAGGACACTCGGTCTGAAATCCAGACTTGAGTCACAAGTGAAAACAAAATATAATAGGCTTATCCCAGTAGTCTAGTGGACATTTGTTAACACTGCAAAACCAAAATTTGCAATAGTTCAGTAGTATTGGTAGTCTGCACACAAGGTCAAGAGCTATGGGCCCTGGCAGAGCTGCCTTGAAGGTTACACAGTGCTTGCTTTCAGATGGCTCCTAGCCAGTCCCAGGCCATTAATCTCTCACTTTCTCCCGGTATGAAATTCATTTTCAATCTCTCTCTCGTTGTGCCAACATATTCGATTTTCTATGCTATCTAGACATATATTTGTAGAAAGTCTCCATTTTATAGCACATATTTAACTGAAAGTTTAAATTATGAAACATGCTGTTTATATTCTTTTTAGCTCCAAGGATTACATCCAAATGCAAAACAAAACTACCTGTGGGTGTCAGTGCAAAACCCATCGTCCAAAGAAAGATCACTTATTACTGTAAGAATTAAATTAGGCACATCTATAGATTATGATTAAGCACAATTGGGCTCATTAACACTGTAGACATAACTAGAGCTATATAGTACTTTGTGTAATTTATTGTGCCATATGCATTACTAATTTATCTCTATGCCCAAATACATCTGCAGAGCCATCAGAAAACTATGTGCATTTATAAAAACAGATACTTTTATGAGACAATTAAGTGTTCAGGGTTTGGTCAGAGAATAAAAAACCTTAAATTACATATGAATAAAAATTGGAAAGAACCTGGCTTAAGCCAAAATCCAGGAATTTGGCATACAGTAGTTCAGCTTTCCTTATTTCACAATGCCCCAGCAGCATTGCTATTGTTGAGGATGATTTAATGCTTCCTGGGATTTAATATTCCAGCTTTATAAGCAGCACACTAAGTCAAAACTTGGTAAAGGTAGCACTGCATCATTTATGGGCTGCTACTTAAAGTACATGTGGAAGTATTCGTTACTACAACGGGAATCTATATGTGAAAATCACCCTTAGAACAGAAAGAACAGGAGTACTTGTGGCACCCTAGAGACTAACAAATTTATTAGAGCATAAGCTTTTGCCCAGAACCCTGGAACTGTAATACAGAACCGTGTGTACTGCAGCACCTACGTTTAGTGGGTCTTATGTAAACATGCTACCAAAGCCTGATCAGAACTGGTTTCTTTTTATGTTGTTTTTGCCACAACAAACCCTACACCAGTAAAAACCCCACTTCCATGAACCCATCTCTCCACTCCTGTGCTCCTCCTTGTCCTCTCTGAATTCTCTGTCTTAACCTTAGATAATGCATCCTTCTTCCACCTGCCACCATTTTCTGTCAGTTCAAGGGGGATCATTTTTAATATTTCTTTAAAAAAAAGTTAGTAAAAAATATTATAATAAATACAATTGTCCTCTGAGGAGTTCTGTTAAATCTGGTGTCATAAATATAAAGGGAAGGGTAAACCCCTTTGAAATCCCTCCTGGCCAGGGGAAAGCTCCTCTCACCTGTAAAGGGTTAAGAAGCTAAAGGTAACCTCGCTGGCACCTGACCAAAATGACCAATGAGGAGACAAGATACTTTCAAAAGCTGGGAGGAGGGAGAGAAACAGAGGGTCTGTGTCTGTCTGTGTGCTGCTCTTTGCCAGGGACAGAACAGGAATGGAGTCTTAGAACTTTTAGTAAGTAATCTAGCTAGGTATGTGTTAGATTATGATTTCTTTAAATGGCTGAGAAAAGAATTGTGCTGAATAGAATAACTATTTCTGTCTGTGTACCTTTTTTGTAACTTAAGGTTTTGCCTAGAGGGGTTCTCTATGTTTTTGAATCTAATTACCCTGTAAGATATCTACCATCCTGATTTTACAGGGGGGATTTCTTTATTTCTATTTACTGCTATTTTTTATTAAAAGTCTTCTTGTAAAAAACTGAATGCTTTTTCATTGTTCTCAGATCCAAGGGTTTGGGTCTGTGGTCACCTATGCAAATTGGTGAGGCTTTTTATCCAACATTTCCCAGGAGAGGGGGGGGTGCAAGTGTTGGGAGGATTGTTCATTGTTCTTAAGATCCAAGGGTCTGGGTCTGTAGTCACCTAGGCAAATTGGTGAGGCTTTTTACCAAACCTTGTCCAGGAAGTGGGGTGCAAGGTTTTGGGAAGTATTTTGGGGGGAAAGACGCGTCCAAACAGCTCTTCCCCAGTAACCAGTATTAGTTTGGTGGTGGTAGCGGCCATTCCAAGGATAACGGGTGTAATATTTTGTACCTTGGGGAAGTTTTGACCTAAGCTGGTAAAGATAAGCTTAGGAGGTTTTTCATGCAGGTCCCCACATCTGTACCCTAGAGTTCAGAGTGGGGGAGGAACCTTGACATCTGGAGACTAAAATTCAATAATGAAATTGTCAATTGGGAGTTTTAATCCTAATTTAAGGGCAAATCTCACACACCTTAAAGATGGAGTCACTACTGAGCCTCCATAATTAAAGGAAGCTTGCTGTAATCAAACTCAGTTTTAAAATTAGGATGAAGTTTACAAGTCCCATTTTTAAAATGGATTTAGCAATTCATATGCTTATATTCAACTGCAAGTCAGTGGGACTTAGGCTCCTAAATCATTTACAAGCTTTAAAATATTTTACTCTTAGTCAATAATTTCATAAAATAATGAACAAAATGAAAAACCCCCATGAGTGCTGGATATGTCAAACTGAGTTCTCTCAATTACTGTTCTGTAAAGAGCCCTGTATGTACTTGTTTCTGTGAGGTACCTCATACATTTTGGTGCATACATCAAATACTAGGTTATATAATCCTGAGAGTGTTTTATGAACTGGGAAGTAAGGCCAAGATTTTCAAAATCAGGAATCTAAAGTTAGACTTCCAATTCCTTAGACTCCTAAATAAGTTACCTAATTTTGAAAAGCACAGTTCCAACCTGGATGACTAACTTTAGGCTCCTGTTTATGAAAATGCTGGCCTAAAACTAGGCTTGGAAGGAGTAGATTTTTAATAGATAAATATCGGAAAATATCAATTTCACCATATACACACAAACCAATGAAAAAATATTTCGATAGATGATAATCAAACTTTACAGACAGGCAAAGAAAGAAAAACTCTGCCTGAGAATTTATCAGAGTCAAAATTCAGTTATTTTTTACTTAGATTTTGAATTAGGCTGGTTACAAATGGACTAGCGAATGAATAGCAAAAATAGGACTGGTTTGTTGATGAAATGATATTTACTTTGTATGTTTTGACATGTGATGTTGACAATGTGTGCTTTAAATGGTTATGAAACCTTAACCTTTTCAACTTCAAGATCTTCTGTCATTAAATAATTGTGACCCGCCTCATAGTTTCCTGCAACTGTAAACATTCAAATCAATAGAAAAAATGCTTAAACCCCATAATTTTGTGCAATTGTGAAAATTTAATATTGATAAAAATGTTTTAAGATACTTAATAAAATATTGATATTATCCATCAGAATTATAGAAATATTGAATTCTGCCAAGCCTACCTAGAACTTTTTGGTGTTTGACATTATTCAGACACAAAAGTATATTTTTTTACACTATACACTGAATAAAAATTACCATGTTTATTAGAATACTGGTAATTATATTCTCAAACACAGTATAGTCAAGTGATTACAGAAGAAGAGTCAGGGCTTCAGGGTTCTATTTTCATTTCTGCCACTGCCTCTTTGTGTGATCTTAAACAAGTGACTTAACCTGTCTGCGTCTACACTTGTCTACACTACAAAATTAGATCAACTTAATTTAGGTAGACCTACAGCCGGGTGGGGGGTCTGTATGGAGAGATGGAGTTCAGCGGAGGGGGTCTGGGTGTGGGGGGCTTACCGGGAGGGGTCCAGGTGCACAGGGGGCAGGACTTGTCAGGGTGGGGGTTCAAGTGTGTGCGGCTCTGGGGGGGGAGCCCTGGGGGCATCCGGATGCATGGGGCTTGGGTAGGTGGGGGAGCAGCTCCCCATATAGTGACCCGTCTCCCCCATGGCTGAGGGGCAGGAAGCAGGGTGGGGAGTGAGGACCTGGGGGAGGTTTCTGGGGTGGTCTTACCCAGCCCTGGCTGCTCTGTGCAGGAGAAGTGCACTCCCCCTCCACCCCCACCCATCGGGACTGGTAGCGGTGGGTGAGGCTCAGCCGGGAGGGGGAAGGGGGTGTCCGGGTTTGAGGGGTCCAGATGCACGGGGGTTGGGCGGATAGGGGGACGGGGGGTCTGGCCCAATACCGACCAGGCATCCCCAACCCCGCCACAGTGATTTGCCTCTCCACCAGCCACTCTGGGTGCCCAAAACCACATGCCTGTGCTGCTGGGGAGGGGCACGTGACCACTTTTTGGCTTCCCATTGCATCCGCATCAGAAAGTCATTTTTCTGTGGGGAAGCAAAGAAATCTGTGAATTCTGTACACGTGCAGTGATGCAGAATTCTCCCAGGAGTAGAAATTGAGTCCCCTGCCAAGCTCACACCTCAGGCTGTAACCCAGGAGTATGGGGGTGGGGTGAGTGGGGCCAGCTGTGAGCCCCACACAAAGCTCAGTTTCACAACAGGGAACCTAAGGGAAATAGACATTCTTGTCTATTTCACAGCTCCAGCTGTGAGCCCTGTTGCTGACCAAGTGACAGTAAACAGCCCATGTAAGTAACGCAGTGTCTACAGGGACACTGCATCACCATAGCTACACCAACATAAGCGCTAGGCTTAATTTTTTTATTTTGTTTTAAAAAATTGTGTTTTTTCCCCCACTCTTAGTCTCTAGTTAGTGGAATTACTGATATCACGTTTGAAATTACTTTGCATTATAACCTCCATTGTCACAGCTCATAATTTTCAGCTCCGGGGGGAG